CACTTTCAAAGGGTATTTGTCAAAGTTACCCTATATGAATACCATATAAGATATTTGAGCAATTTTTAAACATACCCTTTTTAATTGAGCCCTCTTTTCCTTCTATCTCTTTAACATTAGTCCATATATTTCTACTTTTTGAACTAGAACTAGTCAAGAGGTAAACTTTTTTAAAAGGGATACTTTTAATAAGTTAAGTATTCAAAAAAATAGAATATGTAATTTTCTTTAAGATTTATTTCTCTATTTAAAAAGTTATATAATGGTAAATGAATGAAACTCCTCACATACATATATACAGCCAGCCAGCCATTTATATAAGTATAACAAACCTCTTCGCCCTGTATCACTGAACCTATTGGCTAGTACTACCCAAAAGAAAAGCAAAAAAATAAAATAAAAAATGGCATTATCACCATGCTCATCTCTAACAATTAAGGTGGACCGGTATGAGCCAGTGCTTGTTAAACCCTCAAAACCAACACCTAAAGAGATAAAACTATTATCAGATATAGATGATCAAGAAGGGCTGAGATTTCATGTTCCTGTGATATTCTTTTACAAGAATAATAACAACCCTTCAGTGAAATTAGGGCAAGACCCCAACAGGGTCATTAGGGAAGCACTAGGTAGAGCTCTAGTGTACTACTACCCGTTTGCCGGAAGGCTTAGGGAAGGTTCCAACGGGAAGCTCATGGTGGATTGCACCGGTGAAGGGGTCTTGTTCGTGGCGGCTAAGGCGGATGTCGGGTTCGATCAACTCGGAGATGCAATCCGACCACCATCTCCATTCCTAGATCAGTTCTTGTATAATGTTCCTGGATCGGATGGTATTCTTGGCTGTCCATTGTTGTTGATTCAGGTAACTTTTTTCTTTTCTTTTTTTTTTTTTTCAAAAAATCAAATTTCTGACTTTTACGGGCTGTTTGGTAATGTTTTGAAAATGATTTTATTTTCAGTATAAAATAAAAATGAGATTGTTTTAGAATCATTATGAGACTGATTCTAAAATTGCGTTTCGTTGATTTTTTAAGAAATTATTTTGAGTATAATAAAAAAGTAAAATCATGTATGGTTATAATTATATTAATATATTATAACATTGTTGAAAAATACTAGAAAATGAAAATAAAAAAGGGAAAATAATTTTTAACTATTTTCTAATTTCTTCACAAAAACCATTCTCATTGTTTTTTATTTTCATTTTTGTTTTCAAAACAACTACTAAACAAATACAGTTTATAGATTATTTTCATGACGTATAAAAACATTTTTAAAAATAATTAAAACCAATTCTAAACATACCATTAGTTTAAGGCCCACGAAAATTAAGGGCCTAGTATATGCCTAGTTTGCAAGTTAGTGTGTATGATAGAGCAAACGAGAAGATGTTTGAGTGATCTAGTTAAACTTTTTTTTTTTCCTCGCCATAAAAATAAGATGCATATTTTTTGAATTGAAATTGGCCTTTATCTGGGCATATGCATAAAAATGCGCGGGTTTTTTTAATTGAAAATGCTAGCATTTGGTGAAAATAATTTCAAGTACTTCAAGTTTGTCCGGTACTGTATATTAATGGAGCTTTTAAGGCAAAATCTATTAATGGAGATTTTAAGGTCGAGCATCGGGTACTGTATATTTTTTAATATTGAATTTGATCAAGATTACATGGTAAAGATGTCTTTACTTCTTCTACTGCTAAAATGAGCTCAGAGTTTGATATTGCACATCCCCATTTTTAGAACAATTGATTAGTTAATGCGTCGTACAATGTTATAGTGGCACGAGTGAAACTAATTTCATCATAGGAATGGAATTGATGGAGTCCTTTCCGTTCTATTGGCAAGTTTTGAGATTTCAAAATGATGAAGAAGATAGAAATGAGATAACGCTAATGAGAGAACTTAATATAAATTAAACAGTTTAAAATATAACCCAACCATTTTTTTTTTTTTTTTTTACAGCAAACATTAAAATTCTCATCTTTCTATTTTAACCTTGGCATATTATGATTTAGGTGTGACTGATTAATTTATTTACCAAGGTCAAAGGCAACAAGCTCAATTAAAAAAATAAGATAAAAATGGAATGTGATTTTTCATGCCAGTGGGACTTACAAGCTTCTGATTTTCTTGTGCAGGTGACTCAGCTAAAATGCGAGGGTTTTGTCTTGGCTGTACGCGTGAACCACACAATGTGTGACGCATTTGGGTTGGTCCAGTTCTTGAACACAATTGCAGAAATGGCACGTGGCATAAATATTCCATCTATTCCTCCTGTTTGGCAACGAGAAATCTTAAACGCCCGAAACCCACCAAGAATAAATTATCCACATCAAGAATTCCATGAAGTACCTACTAATTCCAAGGGCCCAAACATGATCATGGATCCAAACGACGTCGTTCAAAGCTCATTCTTCTTCAGCTCCAACCAAATCAGGAACATGAAAAAACGGCTTCCTAAACATCTCCAAAACTGCTCGCGCTTTGATTTAATCACGGCATGTTTATGGAAATGTCGGACGATTGCACTTGAACTTGACCCAAAAGAAATTGTTCTTGTTTCTTGCATAGTAAGGTTACGTGGAAACAACAACGCTAAAAATCTCAGTCTCCCATTGGGATACTACGGTAATGCGTTCGCTTACCCGGCTGTGGTTTTGAAGCCTAGGGTTTTGTGCGAAAGCTCGTTAGGACACGTAGTAGAGTTGGTGAAGAAGGCCAAGGCGGAAATGAGTGAGGACTATATAAAATCCGTTGCCGATCTGATGGTGACTAGAGGACGGCCTTTGCACGCGGTTTCGGGGAACTATTTTGTCTCGGATAATACACGTGTGGGGTATGGGGAGATCGATTTTGGGTGGGGTTTGCCGGTGTTCGGCGGACCTGCGAAGGCGTTGTCTTTTATTAGCTTTTATGTTGAGTACGAGGAGAAAGGGGAGAAAGGGGTGGTGGTGCCGATATGCTTGCCGACGGTGCGTGCTATGGATAGGTTTGAGCAAGAGTTGAAGAAGATGATTGATATTCATGAAGAAAAGTCTTCTACGACGTATTAATTCAAGGAATTAAAATTTGTATCCTCGCTTTAAATGGAGAGTCTTTCTTTGAATTGAAGCCTCAAGATTCGTATAGAAAATAGTTATTTGTTATAATAATTGTAGAGGGAAAGCATTATGTAAAATAAAGGTCTCATATATATATATATATATGTAAATATATATAATAAAGATGGCACAACAGGAATAATACAAAATAAGTAAGTAAATAAAAAAAATCCTAGTTCTGGAATAATACAAATTTTCTGGAAAATCCTAGTTCTCAAAATCAGACGTTGTCGATTGGCTGGCGTTAGATTCCCAGTTCTGGAGATAGAGATTCTAGTGTACTTTATGAGATTGCAGGTCTTTGGTTTGGCTTCATGGCCCTTGTGTTAGGCGTGTCAGAACTCCAGTTGCTATGTTTCCTCCCCGTCATGGTAGAGCTGGGAGTGGGGAGCGTGGGCAGAGTTTTGCTTAGCAACTGAAGCGATGTTGTAGTTGGTATTACCAGCGGGAAGCGCGTGGTGCCTCACGCACTAAGGAATGGGTGTTTCTCTAATGTTTAATAAAGGCGATGTTAATTATGTCATGTAGGTATTGTCTTATTGTCTTAGTGCTTTTGGTCTGTTGTTATTTCGTTGATTTGAGTTTAAAATTTAAATTTTATTACAATAAAAAATTTTCAGAAACAATCATATCTAACTTTTTTACTATAGTAAAAAATTCTCACATAAAATCACATCTAAACTCGAATTAAATATTCAAATCAGCGAATTAAACGGGCCCGTCTCGTTACTCTTTAGTTTTGTTTAAGTCTAATAGATAACAACCTAGTCGGTCTTATTTCGGAATCATTGCGAAATTTGTACAACTTAAAAAGGTTAGACCTCCCTTCGAACATGTTGTTTGGAGGGATTCTATTGACCACAAGTTTGTTACAAACTTAAATTCCTAAATTTTTTCCTAAACAATTTGCTGGTCCTATATCTCGTGCAAGGATTCAGATTCTCTGTCTAATTTTTAGTATTTCAATTGATGTTTAACTAATGAATTTATATCACATCATTCCATAATAAGCATAAAAGAATTAATTAAAAAGCAGTTTAAATTTTTTAAATGACATGGTATAATATGATTAGTTTGATACCTATTAACACACTAAAATTAAATAGAAGATTTGAGTTCCTCGTGCAAATCTAAAAAAAAAAAAAAAAAAAAAAAAAAAAACTAAAACTTGAATCATATTTTTGAGATTGAAATCGTGTGGTACCGTTGTACGCGATTGGGCCTATGCTGCACGTCTTTAACTACGGCCTCAGATATAATTATAAAAAAAAAAAACAAAAAAAACAAAAAAAACAAAAAACAAAAAACTATGGCCTCATACATTGAAGCTACTTATATGTCGAACTTTCAGTCATATATATAATCGACAACATAAATTAATTTCTGTGGTTGCTGATTTTTTTTTGTTCAAAATTATCACGATCAAGATGGTCCTGACTTTATTACACGCAGCAAGGACTTCATTCATAAAGTCAATTATTCTTTATAGCTTTCTCACTTTCAATATATGTGTATACATGTGTGTTAACAAAAATCTTATATATATACAACAATAATATATATATATATATATAAGCGCAAGGCTTAAAATGTGGTGAAATGTAGTATATCTAGTGTGTTAATAGGTATCTAATTAATTATATTATACCACGTCATTTAAAAAATTTAAACTGTTTTTTAATTAATTCTTTTGTACTTATTATGGGATGATGTGATATGAATTTATTAGTTAAATATCAATTGAAATACTAAAAATTAGACAGAGAATCTAAATCCTTGCACGAGATATAGGACCACCAAATTGTTTAGGGAAAAGTTTAGGAATTTAAGTTGTAACAAACTTGTGGTCAGTTCATATAGAATCCTCCAAACAACATGTTCGAAGGGAGGTCTCTAACCTTTTTAAGTTGTAGAAATTTCGCAATGATTCCGAAATAAGACCAACTAGTTTGTTATCTGTTTGGTCAAAAGGTATGACTTAGTTAATAGCTTTGAAGATCTAAAAAAGGTTGGGAATTTACTGATATTACAAATAAAGGAAACGCAAAGACAAAGTTGTTCAAGGTTGACACTTAGGGTTTGTTGAAGAATTGTTGGAAGAAAGAAGAAGCCACCTTAGCCTTTTTAAACATTAAAAGAACTTCTTCTAACTCCATATTGCCATTGAAATTATTTGATGACAGATTTAAAAAAAAATTAGTTTTACATTCTGCAGTATTGATCTCGGAAAAAGACCACTTAACATATTTTTAGCTAATGAAAGGTCAGTTAAGGATATTGATAATTTAAGAATGGTTAAATCAAATAGAATTCTGCTCACTAAATATTTTGAAAAAACATATGAGGAAGAACTTGTGTGTAAATTAGTGCAAAATACATCGGAAAATCTTGTCAAATTGTTGTTGGAAAGATATATGGAACGGAGTTCCTTAAACTTAGCTAAATTAAGTTTTAAGGGACTCCAACTCCCTGGATCTTTTCCACAATAATTTTATAGGCTTTTCAGAGACATTTTGTACTAATGTCTCACAAAACTTTTCCTCACATAACTTTTCCGATTTAACCATTCTTAAATTATCTTACAACTTGCTTAATAGCACTATACCAAAATGGATTTTGGACTGCTATCTTTGAAAATGTTGCACCTAAGCCGTAACATGTTTAGTGAAATTAACACGCTCCATACTAAATCCTTGACTGACCTTTCATTAGCTAAAAATAAGCTATGCGGTCTCTTTCCGAGATCAATATTTCAAAATGTAAAGCTAGTTTCTTTGGATCTATCATTAAAAATAAAAAATAAAAAAAAAATAAAAAATAAAAAATCACTGGCAATGGAGTTAGAACAAGATCTTTTAATGTTTAAAAAGGCTAAAGTGTCATATTCTTTCTTCCAATAATTTGACTTTGAGCTTCAATGGATCCATGAGGGTGAGCTTGGATAATCTTGTGTCTTTGCGTTTGTCTTGTTGTAATTAACATCAGTAGTTCGCAACCTTTTTAGATCTCTAAAGCTATTAAGTACTTAGAGCATCTTCAAAAGAGCTCTCTAAATTTTAATTAAATTCTAACTAAAATAGCTATAAATTTTTTAGTGAGTCACTCCAATCATATTTTCTATTTTAGCTAAACATATTTAAAGCTATTAACTACTTAGAGCATCTCCAAAAGAGCTCTCTAAATTTTAGTTAAATTCTAGCTAAAATAACTAGAAATTTTTTAGTTAGTCATTCCATGTATACTCTCTATTTTAGCTAAACATAGATTATTTTAATATTTAGTGAACTTAAAATATAAATAACTTTATTGAATTTAAAAAAGAACATTTGCGTTTATTATGGTTTTAAGAATAAAATAATACAAAACATTAAATGGCTAGCCTTCTACACTAGTTATATTTAACTAGTGTGGAAGCTATTCTCTAAAATAGCTAACCATTTAGTTAATTGTTAGAGTGGATAAAAGCTAAAAAAAAAAAAAAAAATTAAATCATTAACTATTTTAGTTCAAAACATGAATAACTAGTATGGTTAGAGTTGCTTTTGGACATTTTGATCAACCAGATACACGGGCAGGATACTCTAGTTTATTTAAATCTTTCTCACAACTCATTAACCTATATGGAGCCAGTTCAATGGACGCGGATTTTTACTATTTATCTTCCTTCCAATTTTTTTTTTTCTTTTTTTTGAACTTTCCAATTGCATCATTACCTGAAGTAGATCTCATTCCAGCGTTGAAAAACCAATTGGTAGGAGAAATCCCAATTTTCTTTTGCATCATGAGGTAACTTGAGGTGCTCGATTTATCCCAGGTTTCTCACAATGTTGAATCTTCGAACTCCTTAAGGGTCAGTGGAAATCAATTTAAAGGTTACACTTCCCCGATCGCTTCACAATTGTGATTACTTAAAAGTTGTAGATGTCATTAACAACAATATATGATCTGGGTCACTTCCTCAGTGGCTGGAATCTCTTCCAAAGCTAGAAGTTCTTATCTTGCGATATAAAAGATTGTGTTGGCCCGGTAAGTTAATCCTAAGGTAGGACTTCCTTTTCAAAAGTTGATTATCATGGACTTTTCCAACACGACGAGTGCTAATTATAGACTCCGTTACTGATCTCCTTTCAGATGCTACTCTATTTTCTTGACATATGTGTTATTCCACTTTTTTAAAATAAACAAACTTAATAATAAGTCAATTCTTTCAACCATATTATAAGAGTGCCAACTCCTATAAGAACTAAGTCTAGGATTGCACACTTTCCGCATCTATTATTTACAAATATTCACTTTACGTTTTTTTATCTGTTGTGTATGAGATTTCGTCCAAGTTTTCGTTCTACGTGTCTAACATGACGTTAAATATTCTAGTAAACAAAAACAAAAAAAAAAAAAAAGAAAAGAAAATTGTTGCTTTTTTTTAATTGCTGTTTTTTTTTTTCTTCTCCTTTGTTAGTCACTTATATGTCTTGACGTTATTTATTCAATTTGACTATCAAGTTGGGAATTCAAATTAGAATCCAGCCGAAAAAAAAAATAGACTTTTTTCTAATGCTTTTTCAAAATGACACATAAAATTTTCAAGTGGTGATGTTTTGGATTAAAAAAAAAAGAAACAGTTTACCTTTCTTAAATAATAAAATGTTTAACTTTTTGGACAATAACAAAAGGTATATATATATATATATATTATATTATTATAAATTAATTGTATTACGTATTATGTCCATAGTTTATGGAGCAAACATATTATTTTATATATACGTCATATTATATATAACTGATTAGTGTATAAAAATGCACATTAAATACTGCTTTTGATTATATAATATTAAAATATTTAAGCTTTAATTAAACAATTTCATTATTTTTATTCAGAATATTTTTCATTGGAATTTGTTTAGTTGTTGCTTAATTATTTACAGATAAAAAGCAATGTAAAAAGCTACACAAAAATAAGCCATGAAAGTCATATTTTTAACCACCCGAGCCAAGCCATCCAGCCAGGCCTCACAAGCCAAAAAGTGAGAAGAGCCGCGTCAGCCGTTTGAGCCACCGAGCCAAGCCACGCGTGGGTCCCAGTTTGTGA